GGACGATAGAGTCATTCCGGACTATCGTATAATTAAGAGTTTTAAGACTAAAATGGCGCCCCTAAAAATGGTGACTGAATATTCGTATTAAATTTCAAAATGCCGTGGTGATTTTTGGGATGTTTTTTGGAAGTTCGAAGTCCAGGAGACGAAACTTAATGGCTTTAAAATGTGCAGTGAGATGACCCCTGTAACGAAAGAAAACACGATGTCAGCTTCAACACATCTCCATAATATAATTATACTAGTATGAAACGTTGCTACTTGTGAGAAATACCGAGGTGTCCGTCGCCTTCAAACATACATGGAGATTGCGACAGTAGCTAACAAAACAGCAAGTTGTACCACACTTGGTTGAACCAAGGACATTATACAGAACCTACCTGTCTCGTATTTGTTGAACAGTTAGCTGTTGACAAACTTGCGCTGTTCGTGGGCGTTCCTATAGGAGCACACCGGCAGGAATTCATCGTAGAACTACAAATGTAGCGTCTTTAATATATCAGTTCCCACGTACTTTTTTCCCCCAAGAGGGATCGAGGGTTTACCACGCCCACCGAGGAAACTGAACGCACATTAAAGGGAAGCCGCTGGCTTGGCGCCATGGCGCGCCAAACCACAACATAACAAACAAAGCACAATGGCTCGTGTTCGGTTCACGTAAATTGGCCATTGTTTAAATATAAATTTCGTGTGCTGACGCCTACAAATGTATCTCCTGAAATACAGCGACGTATTTTTTCATGTCCGCGCTAGCCGCCATTCCAGATCAGAGATTCTCATTAATATGCAAGCAGCTACGCTCTGATTGGTTCACCTTAGATGACCTGCGCTCTGATTGGCTAGAACGAAGCCGAGTGCATGCTGGGGCGCCCTTCCACGCGCGAAGTGCAGAGAGCTTGATCTCGAGATTGCCACATTTACGCTGGTTTCTACCTTATTTCTACGACTAATTAGCAACATCCTGGTGACGAAATGTGTACTCAAAAGAATTTTCGGGAAAACATATACGTACATGTGGATTTGTGGTGCCTTTGGCGTAATTTTGTTGGTCACATACAACGTAATGTAACACGGAAGTGCACGGAGTCGGAGTCGCAGCACGGCTTTCCGTCCCACTCTAAACAAAACTCCAAGGACATAACAAAACTCCCCAAAACTGGTCAATAAGTAGCCATAAAATGTTTGTGGGCACGTGTAAATATGCTGCCTTTTTTCGAGTGTTATAGGAATTTTTCGCGATGTTTTTTGCACATCCCTAACGTTACCTCACGCCCGCCGCCTATTATGCACGGCGGACCGGGGAGTTTAATATAACTTCAGATCATCTAGGATCGCATATTCGGTCGTAAAATAAGTTAACAAACAGAGAAAAACAGCAAATTAAAGTTGACAAACTATAGAAACGCTTGCCTGGGCAACAGTGACAAAAGAAAATGTCGATCTAATTGATGCGCCGGTGATCGTTAAAACGTTTTAAACGTTACAATATAGTAAAATGCAGGCTAGATCAACGTTCCTTCCGCTGTTCCAGCGGTGTGTATCGGTAATTTCCCGCCCCGCATGAGGTAAATTAGTACTCCTCCCACTATTCCTGTGATGTTACCGCGCCTGCATATGAATGGAGAAGTCTAACGGAAAAGAAACGCGTTACTTTCGGAAAAGTAACGGAAAACTTACGGAAAAGTAACCAGTTAATAACGGAAAACTAACGGGAAAAAAACGGAAAAGTAACGGCCGTTAGGGTAACTATAACGCGAACGGTACTGTACTTGTATCACTATAATTCTACCTAGAACTGCTTTATTACCATGACCTGTAGCTTGTTGGATATAAATGTCTTTTTCTTCAGGATGGAAAACACAACATTTTTTCCTTAGACTGATAGCCATTCAGCACCAAGGAGAGGATGAGTTTATCACCAACTGGCCTGTACTTAGCTTGTAACATCATAAATGTCTTTTTCTTCAGGATGGAAAACGGAAACACAACATTTTCTCCTTAGACTGATAGCCATTCAGCACCAAGGAAAGGATGAGTTTATCATCAACTGGCCTGTTAGTACTTAGCTTGTAAGATCATAAGTTTACGTCTTTCATTCATTCATGATTTCAGTGAGCGTCAGAAGGTTCTTGACGAGAAGTCGACCGGTCGGATCCACAAGGAGATGGAGAAGATGAAGGAGCAGATGTCTGTGATCCAGGAGGAGTTTGAGAGCGTGCAGGCCATCAACAACGCCATCAAGGACACCGTCGCTAAGGAGCAGGAGAAGGCCAGGAGCATAGAGGACCAGCTCAAGGTAAAGCCAGGTTGTTTATACATAATTATATTTTATTCAAGAATCAGCATGTCAGCATGCAAGCATCCCTTAAACCCTTGGGAGACGGGGAACAACTGACGTTAAACCAGATGGTGAGTATTAGTGATAGTGATCTCACAGGCCCTAAGCTGCCCAACTGTTTACAGGAGACGATACAATGTCATGTACATAAAGCACTATACAGAAAGTCAGATGCTAGACAAAACATTTGAAATACTTTGCAACATCAAAACCCACTGATTGTTATACACCAGGAGCATAGAGGACCAGCTCAAGGTAAACGCAGTGTATTTTTTGTATGTTGAAGTGGTACAACCTCCCCCCCCCCACACACACACACACAGACTCACACACAGGTAAATTAACTACTGGATGATCCTGAGTACTCAGAGCAAAGAGGGCTGAGACAGAATTCCTGAGGAGAGTGTGTGGAGGAGGTGAGTCTGAAAAGAGCATGAGAGAGAAAGAAGTGCCAGACAAAGAGAAGTTGAAATCAAACCTGTGGCTTACAACTGGTGTTTAGATGAGTTGCCTTCAATTGCGAGAGAAGCTCCCAACAATTCATATACACTGCAGTTTATTCAGAAAAGGATTGCACAGGATTGAAGCAGTCCAAATTGGACTAGGTAATCAGTGCATAATAAGTTGCAGAAAATTCTTAAGTTTCAAGCCAAAGTAAAGTCTTGTTCTCTACAAATCCTGGAAGACCAAGCAGCAGTTAGCACTGACTAGACAGTCTAAATGTATTGGGTTCTTCTAGTTTGCATCTAAATAATAGACTAGTATGTATCTGACATGCACAAGACATCTTTTCCTTTTAACATGTTAACTTTGTGCATCAGTATGAAATGGCCATCACACATCAGCTGAAGAAGGAGGTGGCCCAGGAGGATACGGGACTGAAGGTGCCGTGGAAATCTGACCTGCACGTTCTTCCATTTCTCACTCTTAAAGAATTCTGTTTATCCACAGTCAACTGCATATCACACTCACAGACACCTGTGTGTACAGCTGTGTCACTCTAGAATATGATTGATCCACAATATATTATAAAGTTAACATGTACCTTTCATTGGGTGATTTTACAAGCACGTGTATCAAACTTGTGATGCTATGAAAGATACAAACACTTGAGATATGCATGTTGTATATTTACTATAAGTTTGTATTTCCAAGGACAAGTATACATTGTAATGGTGGTACTTGTACTTGGAGTGTCTTAGCACACATTTGGACACCGGCCATGTAGCTTAACTTTGTAGTTCACTTTATAGTTTGAGATAAAGGGAAATAAAGCCTGTTCTATTAAGGATTTTTGTCACTCTGTAACCTCACTATCTAGTACAATTTACATTCAGTGAATATGCATGTCAGACTTGTGTTGCTAATTCAATGCTACACTAACCCTGATGTTTCTCCCTTATAAATAGCTGACCATTGGGGCACTACAGCAGGAGTTTTTGCAGGAAATCCACAATTGCCAAGTTTTCGAGGCTTGTATATATATATATATTAAGATATTTCACATGAGGAGCACATCCATATAGAAAATGTAATGCACAGTAACTGTCATATTGGCAGTGTTTGAATGAATTTTCTCCAGATGATTGACTTGAAACCTATCCCTTGTGTATATGATATTACACACATGTTGTATATTAATGTTACATAGATCCGCCACCCTGAAAAATGCATCTAAAGAGATTGCAACACCCTACAGTACATCTATGCACCCCTGCATACCTAAACTGTGTACCTGGGAGTGGTGCACTAGAGATCTCCCAAACACACTGTGGCCAATATATGTGCATTGTAATGTCTTATTAAATCAAGGGTAATTCCTTTTTTCTTTAGAAGAGTCCTCCTCAAAAAATGAAGTTTATATCTCATGTCCGGACGTACATCCAGTCTAACATTTTGCACCCCAACTCTCTACCCCAGGTTGTAGTGGACCTTCTCCATGCAGATTTCTTTGGGACAGACCTTACCTTAGACTCTGTCCCAGACAAGGAACATCACTACTACCTCCCTGATGATGATGATGATGTTAGTTTGAAGAAAGGAAATTTTAAGCTGGATTTTCTTGAAGCACACTGCACTTCAATGTTGTTGATTGACATATATGGCTGACACAAACTCTGTTCAAACAAAGCACCCTTTTTCCCTCTTTACAATGTAGATCAAGACATTTTTGTCAATTCCTTGACTCAAGAAAGCCAAGAGCACAGCACTGGAGACATACTGTCATGTGTACATGTTTTTGTGTAATACTAATTTAAAGGCAAACTGCCTATAAACACTTAGAGAGTTATGAGCATGTGGTGACTTTTTCTTTGGTGTTTTTTGACGTGATCCACATTGTTCTAGTACATTAACTGAATTCTCCCCAGGACATAGTAATATACATGTAGGTGTATGACATACATGGTGATGAGCAGACCTTATACCTGTCATTGAAAAGAGTTTTATGTGACTTATATGACATTATATATAGTAGATTTAAATGCATTTTTACCCCATCACTTTTTTCCACACCACATCAAATTGTGTTACACTTGATTGGTAGAATCTTATTTCCATGCAAGACGAAAAAAAACACAGTTTAACATTCTCTGAAGATTTGCACATTTTTGAATGTCTCCAAAAAAATGTGAAAACTCAGTCTTAAAGCCTTCAGCACCTTCTGTACATGTATATTTCCCCGCCCAGACCACAGCCGATGCCCTGAAGAAGCAGGTTAAGGAGGAGATGCACACCAGCACGATCCTGAAGGCGCGCATCACGTCTGACACCTCCGACCACGAGCGGCTGCAGCTGGAGGCCAAGAAGAAGCAGGACAAGGTTTATTATGTTTATGTTTATTAATGATAATATGTTTACCAAAGGAAAACATATTGTTTTTGCTCTGTTTCTTCTTCCGTTCCAAACACTGACCTCTGCCATGGCCAATAACCTGAACCAGACTGTCTCTCACCATGGTAACTAGTGTTGGGTTAATATCATGTTGCAGTTTTATAGTAGGAGGGATTTAGACTTCTGTCACCATATTATGTGAATATACACAACTTACACTACTGTAACAATATACCAACTATACAATATTTACTTAATAACTTCCAGGTGACGAAGAAGGTGGACGAGATCGAGAACGCAGTTTCCATCGTGGAGGAGGACGTCGTCAAGAGGAGGAAAACTCACGCGGAGACGAGGAAGGTGAGTAGGGGAAATACAGCACTGTAGATGCTGTTATGCTCGTGCATAGTCCAGTGGTTAGTGACCCTGCCTCTGGATCAAGAGGTTGGGAGTTTGAATCCTGGCTGTTGTGGCTCACCTGACCTGCTGTGAAGGGTTCACTGTGCATTGAGCTGTGGTCAACTGTTCATTATACTTGTCGAGAAGAGTTAGGCAAATTTCCCTGGTACCTGTAAATTTGTACTTCCCCTCACTTCTAACACACACACCTCCCCCCCCACACACACACACACAGGTGCGTGTGGACCTGGAGGCCCAACTTGCAGAGGTCACACAACGGCACCAGAAACTGTACCAGGAAGTGTCCAAGAGGAAGGGAGAACTGCAGCCAGTGGAGAAGAAACTAAAGGTAGGATGGCTTAAAGTTAATGTCTCCAAACTCTGATGTAGCAGTACAGCCATAATGTAGCATTACTTAATAATATATATGTAACAGTATAAATGTAGTGTACATAGTCCAGTGGTTAGTACATGTATAACTCTGCCTCTGGACCAAGAGGTTGACTTGTCTCAAAACTCTAATGTAGCATTACAGCCATAATGTAGCATTACAGTATGTAGCAGTAAATGTAGCATGTGTAGTCCAGTAGTTACCCACCATGCCTCTGGTCCATGAGGTTGGGAGTTCAATTCCTGGCTGTCGTTGCTCATCCGACATCCAGTGACTACTGAAAAGGGTTGCAGTCCTTAGCCATGGTCCAATGTTTATTATGCTTGCATGAGAGCTAGGGAAATTTCACTGGTAAATACATGGTATCTGTCTTCCTGTCCGGACCAGTGAAGAGTAGCTCTTTAGTGAGCAAAAACTTGATCTAGATTACTATAATTTAGAGAACACATGTTAGAGAATAGTTAACCTTTATTGTTACATCATACATTATACTCTGTACGTAAGATGACGTTATCCACACATGTATTTAGCTTTGTTAGATCTTTAGTTAAGTTGTAGAAGACCATACAAAAGTCTCTGTACTTTTTGTTGTGTCAATAAAGAATCTTTTGCAATAAAAATGTTTGGGTTTGTAGTTTTCTAGTTTTCATTGTAAACAGTGTGGATTTGGGTTCAGTGGTTTTGTATCTTGAACACATGGTTTTTCCCACCCACAGGGCGAGCATGCAGTGGTGAGTCAGAAACTGGAGACAATGAAGAAGAAGTTGGAGATGATGAAGACGAAGAGGAACGAGATGGAGCGATCGCTGGTCGTCATGAACAAACTCACCGTCACCACGGAAGACGCCATCGCAGAGCTGGAGTAAGTGCAGAATGTGATGAAGCTACATGTACTTCTCTGATAAGTTGTTGGATGTGAGATGCTTTCTCCTTTTTCTTTGTCTAGTACTGTAACATTAGAAGAGTAATGGCTCTGGCGACCACACTGGCCCTCTTAGTCTTACCCCAAGTACATGCAGCATGTCCAAAAGACGTTTAAGTCCACTAGAGGTGATATGAACACCCACCTCCATTTGTTATTTTGAAATCCTTTCGCTGTTCCCTAGAAGAAGCACCTCTGCATGCTCCTCTGGTGATTCCCTTCTCCAATAATCTTAGTTTCAATGGACCATATAGGTGCACCATAGCATTACCAGTGGTCCAGCCCCCTGCTGTAGTGATTGCTGTACTGTGTGGCCTAAGGACTACAGAAACAGAGAGCGCAGGAAGGAATTTTAACTTTAAACTTTAACATTTCCCAGGCAGGAGCTGGAGGAGTTGAACATCCAGATCCAGGACCTGCAGAGGTCAGAGGACATGCTGAGGTCATCGCTGAACGATGTCACGTCCAGGAGGAGCGGGCTGGAGAGCCAGCACAGGAAACACATGGACGAACGTTCAAGTGTGCTCAGCCAGAACCAGGTATGGTCTTGTTTGAATGTTTGTTTGTTTGTTTGTTTGATCCTCTGTTTATTCAAGAGAAGTTCAAATTGGCCTGCAGTTTGCTTTTTATTGAGGTAAGAGGGAAGCGTCAGACAAAGTTTAAATTGCAGAAAAAATAAACTTTAAAATGCAGTTTACATTAGTCTACAAGTGCACAAAAAAAGCCAGTTGGAAAAGAAATTTCTTGAAACTGGCTAAGAAGACCACTCAAAGGACTGATTGAAATAAACTGGTCTATGTGACTGTGTATGTGGACAGGTGGTCACTGTATACTAGTAGACAGAATTCCTTTCATGCTTGTGTCAATAGGAAAATTATCTAAGGGCCTACCAGAAAGTGGTCACATTGGCCAGGTAGTCCTTGTATAGAGGTGGTCACTATGACAGGTTTGACTGTAGATGTAACTGCCAAGCTTTGAATGACAGTTCCGTAGTACTTCACATGGTTAGAGGGATCCTTTTTTCCTTTATGTACACAGGAAAACCTGGACGAAGCCTTGCAGTACAACAAGAAGGTGGCAGAGGCGTACCGAAGTCTGATGAACGAGAAACTGGACATTAAGGACACTCTGCTGCAGGAGATGGATGCCAGGGTCAAGATGGAGTCTTCTCTTAAGGATCTTAAAGAGGTACAGTGAAGATTGTGATGAAAGACAAGTCACTAAACACAAGGAAATCAGAAATCTTGTCAATGTAAAGATTTTTTGGCATACAGTCAAAATTTCTGGGCCATCAGAAAAGGGCTCAACCAAGTCTGGCAACAACTCAGACAGTTGTTGTAAGTGCATTGTAGGAACTACAGTCAAAACTGCCCCTAAACTCATAGAAACAAGTTATGTTGTATATGATAGCCATTCAGTACCAAGGAGAGGATAGCTTGTTGCAACCTTTCAGTACAGCCAAAACTGACCAAGAAGACCGCTCAGGTCTTTGTGGACAGGTCACAATAGACCTAATGTTTGTGTCAATGGGAAAACCAAAAAGGGGTCACACCAGTCCTCATGTAGAGATGGTTACTTGTACAGGTTGGAATTTTAAGGATCTTATTTTATTTTGTCACTGTTAAGAACTTTGAAACTACATTACAGAACTGTAGTACTCCTCTCATTTCATCATTAGAAGGATAAGAGGACTGACAGAAAAATGGTTGGTAAGCACTTTATTCTGTGTATGAAAATAACTTATAAAACGTGTATAATAATTACATCTTTAGACTTTACATAAATCATATCTCCTTTGTATTGCCCAGTTGTCAGGTCTGCAGAGCCGGCTGCACCTGGCCCTGGTGCAGTACTTTGACCTGTGTGCAGAAATAGCTGATAAAACCTTTCTATATAATTACATCTTTACATAAATCATATCTCATGTTTGTGTCTCCCAGTTGTCAGGTCTGCAGAGCCGTCTGCACCTGGCCCTGGTGCAGTACTTTGACCTGTGTACAGAAATATATAGCTGATAAAGTCTTTCTATATAATTACATCTTTACATAAATCATATCTCCTGTTTGTGTCTCCCAGTTGTCAGGCCTGCAGAGCCGCCTGCACCTGGCCCTGGTGCAGTACTTTGACCTGCGGGGTGCGTATAACCAGGCGGGGCTGGCGCGGATGGAGCAGGTCGGGCAGGAGACCGGCAAGAGGATCCTGGTACTGCAGGACGGCATGAACGACGCCGTCAAGGAAATCACCGGTTTTCTTAAGGTGAGTTTTTTTTTCTAGTGAGTTTTGGACCATAGTGAATTCGAGGGGATTCATTCCTCAGCCAACCAACATCTTGCACACGCAATCGTCCCTCAGTAAGACATCTGGAGCCACATAGTTCCTTTTAAAACTGTATTCAGCCTGTATGTGTAACACGACCGGATGTCGGTTAGCTGAGGAATGAATGCCCTCAAATTCACATGCAGTTTTGTACCATAGTACTGTAACAGTGTGGCTTTTACCCATGAGGCCCATGTTCCCTTCCAGGGGAACCACTGAAACACAAAGGGGCTAGTAGTACAGTCACCTGGCACCAGAGCATGATGTACATTTATATTAGGCATCACCTGCTAGTCCCAATGGTTAGATCCTGTGTTTGTTATTCATAGTTTATGACATTGTATGGTAAACATTCATACATGTACATTTCAGACAGGTTTTATTTGGTTTATTTGGATGGCAATACCATTAAAATAGAGTCCTGCATGTAGGTTTGTTTAAACGACTTTACAAAAGGATATGTGCCAATGACGTGTAAACTTTATTCAGTATTGCAGCACAAAATGCAATGGTGCGATCCATGTCTTTATTATAGACGAAAACCATATGGCTTTTGTATTTGGTATTGATAGTATACATGTATATAAGCTAACAGCATTATTGATTTGACACCCACCTTCAAGGACAATTACATGATACCACCTTCTTGAGTGAGGGACATATACACTTGTGAAACAATCATGTATCAGGTAGATGGAACGTGTGCAGTTAATGCATGAATGGTGATGGGCATTCTTGTCAAACTTCAAGTTGGTAAAAACTGTATGTACAACATGTATAAACTGACATACTTTCACCAGGTCACGTATACATGTATCTGCCTGTCAAAATTTAACAGATCTCCAATACAGCATCCGCCAGTGAAATGCACTCCTGCATATCTTAACTGTGCATACCTGGGGGTGCTGCACTAGAGATCTCTCACAGTTTTTCAAAGGGCAGATATACATGTACATGTAACTATGTAACCTGGTAGATAAATGTTAATGGAGGTTTAATTAATGTTCAGAAAGAGAACATTTCCTGTGGTGGTTGGTAATGATGTGCTGTGTTTGATTTGTCTAACTGTAACTGTTACAGTTGTGGTCAGTATGTCAGAGTGTGTTCCTGTACCTCTATTAATTGAATTGGTGTAACATGCATGCTGCTGAGCTTGAGATTCTATTGCTGTTTAATTTCTCAGTAATGTATTACTATGATGATATACAGCATGCTCCTGCATTTGGCAGAAAGTACTATAAATGCAGTTACTTTTGCAGCTGTCTCATTTTATTATAGGAGGTTTGAGGAGTACTGCGCCTGTGCAACACCAAAATCAGAATTTTGCCTGTTCCAGACAATATATTTTCAAACACATTTGAAAACTACAGACAGAATGTCATCTTAAATACACGGGCACAACCTTAAACAGGACATTCTGCTTAAGCTACATTACAGATTTCGTGCACAGGCGCAGTACGTTCTGCCCATGTGCTACCTCTTAACTGTTGGCAAACTTTTGAATGCGTTTTCTGTCCTGTACAGGGTCAGCTTGATGGCTCAGCAGCCAGAGAAGTGTCGGAGGCTGCTGCTAAGGCCCTGCGGGAGGAGACACACACACCAATGCCTGGGGTGGTCAGGGAAGACACCAGGACATCCGCCATCAAGGCAACGTAGCAGCAGTTGTCTGTCAAAACTTGCTGTTAAGTATAAAATGTGTTATGTACATTACATCATATGTATCTAATATATCAGATGATGTGAGATTTCTGACAAATCTTGCTGTAAAGTTTGTGAAGATTAGTCACTTGCTGTAAAGTATAAAACATAATATGATGAAGACACCAGAAACTCTGCCAGCATATAATTGTAAAATTTGAAATATTGTCTGTCCAACTTGCTGTTTAAGTATAAAACATGATATGCATCTAATATATCAGGTGTATTTTACAACTTATATAATGTATGATCACACAAGAGTTTGTTGCTTAAAATGCGTGCAGATCAGAGTCCTTTTAAAGGCAGTATTATAATATTAATTATATTTTGCAGTGAAATTAGCTCAATTTTCACTCAGAAAACTATAGCTTGTAAATATTGTACATATTGTCATCTTTGTCAATTAAAGATTCAACTTAAGATTAAATACTAGGCATGATGTGAATTACTTGAATGTGAGTGTGCGTGTGTGTGTGTGTGAGTGTGAGTGTGTGCGTGTGCGTGTGCGTGTGCGTGTGCGTGTGCGTGTGCGTGTGTGTGTGTGTGTGTGTGTGTAGAAACAGGTAGCCATAATGATCTCAAAGACACACACAACTTGACACAAGGCAACTATTTTATCGCAAAACACCATTTCGTGATTACCGCATTTTGCTTGACAGCCAAGCTTGACCTACATGTACATTGTACAAAAGTAAGAAGTAAGTTTCCCTGAACAAAGAAAAGCAATGCTTGGATGCCAAGATAGAAATATGTACAGTCAATCATCACATTCTAGCTGCAGGTAGAAACCAGATGTCTAGGATAACACAGTAAAATAAATAACTGCAAATGCTACACAAACATGAACCCGCATTTCCCAGGTTCAAAATGTACTTCTGCTGCTAAAATTTGTACACAATACAAACAATTTAAAGAGTTCATGCCATAGGATTGTCCCATAGGATAGTCAATAAATGAAGTCATTTAAAATTAGTGAGACTACACATTATCTCATCCATACATATATTTGCAGTCACAATTATTATACAATCGTGTATTTTCATTGGTCAGCAACGCATTAAAGAGTTTGCTGTATCTAAAATAACCTAATATACATTGTAATACTATGAAGTATTCTAAATTTTTCTTGTATACAGTGCAGTGCAGTATATGTACATTTTGAATATCACCTCAAAGTCTGCAAAATACAAATGTATAAAAAAAGTACAAATACAATTATTTTAGGACCGAGATTAATAACAGGACTGTTCAGGCTGATACGAGATTTTTAATATGACCTCAAAGTCTGCAAATATACAAATGCTTAAAAAAAGTACAAAATGATTTTAGGACCAAGATTGTATAGGACTGTTCAGCCTTAGCTGAAGCTGTAGGGCTGATATCAATTAGGATTTTACCATGGTCAATACTGACTGAAGAAGATATAATCACAAGGATGCTTGTAGCAAAAGTCCTTAGCTATAGGCTATCTATTTTTTCTTTTTTTTTGAGTAGCAGTTCTTATGGTATTGTGACAGTCTTACGATAGGAACTATCCTAACCGTATTTACATAACTACAGTGGGAGTTAGCTGCAAAAATGGAGCACATCGGCAGAACGCACTGCACCTGCGCAAAACACATAATAAATGTACATAGCACTTTGGCAGAACGTCTCATATAAGGTCGTATTTGCACATATAAGGTCAATATTCTATCTGTAGTTTCCAAATTTTGTGTTGGAAAAAATACCATCTGCAACAGGGTTTTGCACAGGTGCAGTACGTTCTGCCGATGTGTTCAATAAGGGTAACATTTCCCCTCCCAACTCCCCTGGGCAATACATTATTCTCCCATACACATGAACATGTATGGCTAAATTTAACTATTATTCAACCCAAGTTGTTAGTCTGGTGGAGACTATTCATCCCTATCATCCTGCTGCACTTCTTCATTCATGCAGTCATGATCAGGTGTTCATCTCTGTATCTGTATATTAGCCAATTACTAACTACTTTAGTAATGGTAAACTTTAGTGTAATGCACCAGCTTTGCAGTGCAGTGACAGCTGTCTGGTGGAGACTATTCATCCTCAACATCCTGCTGTACTTCATTATCAGGTGGTTCATCTTCATCTTCCTGCTCTTCCTCCTCCTCCTCCTGCAGTGCAGCATCAGTTCTCGCCTGCACCTCCATCCACTCTCCCTGTACCCTCTGGAAGGAGGGCTGAATACGGATGCTGTACTTTGTCCCTGCCTCCAGACCCTCCAACTGGAAGGTCCTGTTGTTCTCGTTATTCTGTACACAGTCCACAGTTGTCCAGCTGTCCCCGCCTGAGGGCTTGAGTTCGATGGTGCATTCGCTGACCTCCTGAGTGTCCAGCTCCCAAGTCACAATGATGGTGTTCTCTGTTGTCCCGGCCACTCTAAAGCCATTCAGTTTTGGAACTGGGTTGATGGAAAATTTAACAAAAATCAAATCATTAGCTTTCTAGCATCTAGGTGTATATGTGTACAAAGATGTACTACATGTAATTTACATGTAGTCACAGTTTGATTATATATAACTTTATTGCAAGACAATTGTACATTAAATGTATAAATGATGGGAAATGTACAAAAGAGGAAGACATTGTTACCCTTTTCCATGCTGCCTAGTGCCCTAACCAATTCATACATATAGAACATTGGTAGCCAATGACAACTTCAGTGTGCTTAATGTTATTATCAAAATGGCTTCTGGAAAGATAGTAGAAAGTAGCCATGAAAAGCATGTCAAAGGATTTAGCTGGCCAGAGAATTACAATTTGCAACCTTGGGAGGCTAATACTGAGCACCGTTTAATACAATGTAAGTTTTACCCACATAAAAAAACACCGGAAGAGGAACTGCATCAGATGACCTGGCCTCTATGGGACTATCCTGGCGATCAGTGAAGAAGATGGCCAAGGACAGACCCAGATGGAAGGGAAAAGTGTTGCAAGGCATGAAAAGGACATTTAAAGTTAGTAAGTAAGTTTAACCTTGTAAGCCCATGTCCTGTATGATATCGGGGCGTCCCATGTCGTGCAGTATGGTGACCAGTGCGTCCTGACTGAAGGGCACCGTGGTGCGCCCGCCCCTCTCCCACTCCCTCAGCACCAGCTCTGTCGGGGACAGACCAGTGGCAGACCGGCTACACCGACTGTCTATGGCCAGGAGGGCCTGGGAGAACAGAGAAGGTTTAATAGCACAGTCATCATCATCATCATCATAGCTTATTGCTGTAGCTCCCCACCCAGATTGTGCCATTTCATTGGCCTCCCTCAGGTCTGAGAGGTGACACTACAGACATCAAGAAAGGGCTCAACCATATCCGACAACAGTTCAAACAACTGCTGCAAGTAGAGCTTAAATACACGTTGTGTTGTATGTGATAGCCATTCAGCACCAAGGAGAGGATGGATACAGCAATAGCATATTGCATCCTTTCAGTACAGTCAAAACTGCCCAAGTAGACCATTTATATATAGTGGATCAATGAAATCTGGTCTATGTGGATTGGTGGTCATTATGGACAGGATTCATAATGCCTGCATCAATAGAAAAATCATTTATGGGACCAACAAAATGTGGTCACAGTGGCCAGGTGGTCTTATGTAAACAGGTTAACTCTGTACATTTAACAGTACATTACCAGTAGGAAAGGAGCATCAATTCTGATTAATAATGATGTATCCGTGTCCATAATATCACCAGAGTCCAAAATATCGCCACCTTGAGAAATAGTGTGCTTTAAGATATTTTACAGCAACATACTTTTGGTATGCACTCCTGCACACCTCAAATGTACATACCTAGGGTATGTTGCAGTAAAAACATCTTTAAGCACACTTTTTCTCAAGGTGGCAATATTATGGACTATGGTGATATTATGGACACAGATGATATATTGAGTTGTTTAATTTACCTGGTAATCCAGCCCTATCTTCTCCCCCAGTAGCCTGTAGTCGTTCCCGAAGATGTTGATCTGGTCCATCTGGTCACAGAACTCCTTCCGCCTGGAGAACTGCTGCAGGAAGCCTTGCCTCGCCTCGGTGGCAGGGACCAGATCATACAGGGGATCGTCTGTCCCCCTCCTACCAACCCGCTCCTATAGAACAGCATCAATTCAACAGGCAAATTTTCAGTAATCAATATTATACACTATTTGATGTAATCATTGAAAAAAAGTTGTTCACAGTTGGAAATGGAAGTTGAAGTTAGGATGGCCTACATCTTGAGTACACAGTCCTAAGTTTGTGTTATGTCAATTTCCTGCTATCAGGGCGGGACAGAGACAGAGATCTTGAACAATATTAGCCCAAATGAGATCAATGACAGAGATAATGAGCTACTCTTCCACTGGTCATAACAGCAAAGACAGACACTGTGTATAGTATATAACTTACAGTTCAATTAATATTGATTTTATACCAGTAGTAATCCTTCAATTAAAATCATCTGACTACAGGATTTGTTTCAAACTGATAAGGTACAGTAACTGCATTTCTCTAATTTTGTGGAGCATCCTTAATTGACCATTGACTTCATCAGCTAGACAAATAAGTGAAGTGTAGATAACAAGCATGATTTACGTACATAGAGAGAAAAGTTGGTGATGATGTTGAGAGTGAGAGTGTCGACCAGACCCTGCCGAACTTGGATCCGGCCGTGAAACTGTTTCTGCTCCGTATCGCTGTGCTGGATGCAGATCTCATGGATGCACCAGCCTCCCAGGTCATTCAAACTCTCCATGTAGATGTCCTGTAAAAGTTGATAAATAATATTTTTTTTAACCGAATTTAACATCATTTTTCCCCAACCGGGGGTTAGGCCACACCAATTTAATTTCTTGGTTAACGGATTTTTTTAGAAAAATAATGGAGCGGGCGGGCGAAAAATAAATAAAAATAAAAACAGGCCTGGGCATCCGATTATGGCCCAAAATGGTACGATAGGAGCCATGAAGTCAACACACCAGGCTGGTTCAAAATTCAAACAATAAATTTTGAACTTTTAATGATACTATTGCATTGAAAGATGGAATAACTGTAACAACAAGGATGAAAAGGACTGTTTTCAACTGTTCAGGGCAAAATATGAGCATTTTGCAGTTGATTCTGAATTTTTATTTTTATTTGCAAATCAGAAAAAAATGAAGCGGGCGAATCCGTTAACCAAGAAATTAAATTGGTGTGGCCTTAGACGTAAGTACAAGTCTTTTTTTTTTTTAAGCAAGATTTTTACAGCTGGATGCTCTTCCTAAGGCCAACCCAAACCCTTTAGTGGGGCCCAGGATCCCTCTAATATTATTAATTATTATTAATTATAATGATAATATAAGAAAAACTTGTATGGACTCTCATGGATGATAAAACTCTCTTCCTGACAAGTATAAAGTTGAGTAGATTCATACCTCGAGCTAACTGACATCTTTCTCCCTGTAGTCATCCTTTTAAGCTAACTAACAGGCTGAATATAAGTTCTAAACGGGAACTATGTGGCTCCAGAAGTCTTACTGAAGGACGACTGCAATGTGAAGGATGAACCTACCTGTATAACCTCCCATTGGAGTAACACACCAGCTTCACAGGTATGCAGTGGCAGCTGGCTATACAATGTAGTGGCTATCATATTCCATAAAATATAGATACTGGTACCAAAGGTTTATATGGACACACCAGCTTCACAGATATGCAGCGGAACACATATTTCATATGGGAAGCACAAAGATGGTTTAAGACTACACTCAAAAAAATTTTAAAGGATTATCACCTTGACTACATCAGCTGTGTTCCACCCCTCAGGTACTTCTGCGTTGATTGACAGGTGCTGGGCCACTTGGAACGCCCGGGGAGGGCAGACGATGTCGACTTTAGCGGGGAAGTTTTCCTTCTGTTTGCAGGAAGACAACATTTTTTGAGTCAGACAAGGTTTGCATCTTAGTAAAAGGTTGAACTTTATTCCAACACACAATTGTACAGGGATCAAATATTTCAGCGAACACTGTCGCCTTCATCAGGATAATTAATGACCAATCACTTCACAACGTGATCTCGCGAGAATTACAATTTACAAACACGTGACCGTAATTCTCGCGATATCACGTTGTGAAGTGATTGAATGGTCATTAATTATCCTGATGAAGGCGACAGTGGTCGCTGAAAATTTGATCCCTGTACAATTGTGTGTTGGAATAAAGTTCAACCTTTTACTATGATTACTACCAACACAGATGAACTTTCATGATAAGGTCTGATGCAGTAAATTTTGTCAATTCCAAACCTGCATAGAACTCAGAACTAAGAAGGAAAATGGACACATGTAATTACTTTGAAAAAAACTACTGTAACAGTAAGACTAGAGATGCTAAAGAAGCTTTGGCAAAGACAACAACTGCTGAGCTTTTGAAGAGCAAAAAAAAGTCAAAATATTTTTTCAGGTAGAACAGGTGGTTTTAGAATTACACATCTATTCAATGCAGACAGTCGCTGTTTTTGTTTACATCATATACAAGCAAATTATTTGAAGACATCAGCAAATTATTGGTAGGCAAATCAGCCAATCTTTACCCACTTTTTGTGGTTACCGTGATGTCATGGCGATCGCTCGTATAAATGTTACTAAATAGCAACAAAAAATTTCATTTTAAGCTGTTGGAAGAGATTGTTGTTTGTTTGTTTGTTTTGTTCTGTACAAAGAGTTAAGGTATGCCTACCACTTCCTTCAGGAGCACCCCTTGTTTGTAGATGGTCACATACACGATCCAGGTCTGGCCGAGTTGGGGCTTGGAAGCAAAGATGCCGATGTTCAACTTGATGCCCTGGAAACATAAACATATGTCATTGACATACAAATGAATCTAGAGCTCTTTTCTACTCTACAACTTCCTCTGCTTTTCATGGCTAAATGATGACTGAACAAGTGGCAAGAAAAAGCCAGTGTCAATATACTGTATCAACCGTAATATCTACCCGAACCTCAAGATAAAGACAGTGTTAAGAGATGTTTATTATGATAACCATAATAAGTTTGTAGTGGCAAGTGGCGTCGTGTGGCGTAGTGGATAGAGCGTTCGGCGCTCAACAAGGAGCCCCGGGTTCGAACCTGGGTCGGAGCACGGGGGCATGTCCGAACATGCGCACCGACGTTGTGCCCTTGGGAAAGGCACTTTACACGTATCCCCCCTCAATTAGAGGGTCAAGTCTCCAACGGCAGTTGTCTTCAGCTGGCGGACGAGAGCAGCGCCAGGCGGGCTGGCGTGATCAAGGCGGAACTTGAGCGTAACCAAGTCACCGGCAGCTCGCTGCAAGCACCCGAACCGGAACCAGCACGTCTCCCTCGATGGATCCGCTGGGGAAGACGGATGCCCAAGTGTGTGGGTCTCAGATTCGCAACCTGTTATCCACCTTAAACAAATTCACGCGAAGGCTACCGTGTCAACTGTGACCCTCACTCAGGTGCAGGGGCTGACACGGTCATCATACTCGGAAAGTCTGTATATCTGTACATGAATCTGTATCTGTGCATGACTATGTATCTGTACATGACTCTGTATCTGATTACAAATAAAGATCACGAGTGATTGCCAAGAATAAGTTTGTAACACAACATTCCCAATGACTGAGTTTGCATTGGGTACATCATAATGCTTGCTAGATATCTCATTGTAGAACAGAAGGCAATAAAATGCTTTTGAAATTAATTTGTTAGCCTGGGAGCCATCCGTTTTTGTACTTTTTTTGTCTTAGCAAGTGCAAGGAGCCCCGTTACTGATAGCACCCGGCTAAAAGTTTGTACATGTTGTAGGAAAAGGCTTACCCCGTGTAGTTCTTCATTGCATCTTCTGGCCTCCCACTCATTCATGTAGTGATTAGCAGTGCCAACATCATTTGTAGATGGAGGAGACTCACTGTTTTTTCTAGGGACTTTCGGAGGGAGCTCAGGAGCACAGGGAATGAGAGCGGGAAGGTCAGGGAGGGGCCTCCCCAGAGGGGGAGGGGGTGGGTCATCCAGAGGCTTGGGGATGTCCTCGCAATGACTGAATTTCTCTTCATCTTCAAACAGGGCCACGATCACTGGTGCGCTCACTTGCCGCTGAAGAGGTGGTTTGTCTCCTTTTGTCGGTGCACTGTTCAGTCTTATCAAATTTCTGTGAGATGGTCTCCCTCTCCTTTGTTGAGGATCTGACCCGGGTAGTATTGTCATCTTCCCATCCGGCCGTTGGATAACACTGTTCCTCCTGGTGTGCCGGAAAGAACTAACCAAGTTGTTCATGTCCTCACCTCCCTCGTTGCAGCCGAAGAAGTAGGACTGCTGCGAGACCTCAAACCTGAACCCCAACTGCAAGGGGCTGAAGTTGTCCAGATCCTTCAGTCTCACCACCATGGGGAGCGGCCGCATCTCTCTCTTTATCGTGGCGATCTGCCCGCCCCTCCTGCTGTTGTCCTTTGGTCTCTCCTGCTTGTACCTCTTGACGACGCTGATGTGTGTTGGGAAGATGGCGAGACGTGCAGGACCCTCGGGGATGCTCTGGTGGGGGGCGATGTCCACTTCAAAGGGATGCATGTCCCTGTACGGTCCTGTAAAAACAAGACAAAGAAAAAGACAAGTTCAAGGGAAAGTCGGAAGGATGACGGAAGGTAATACAATCTGCTATTTACCAGTTTTAAATTTTTATTAGAAGATCTTCATGTCACATCAGATGAGGAAGAACAAAGCTGCATTTTCCAAATCAATCAATGATCATGCCTTTTACTTCCCAAACTAAAGTTAGGTACACATTTTACACTTGGGTGATGGAGGAAAGTCGTGTGAAATGCCTTTTCTAGGGACATGTAGGCCTTGAATGCTAGGAATGAAACCTGTGGACCCGGATCTCATGTCTGCTAGCCTAGCCACTCAGCCATTTGATGCCACATGTGAAACAAACACATGAAGTAAGCTGTCACCTTGACAGAGAAGTGCGTCCAGTCTGGCCACGTCGCCTCCTGTGCAGTGCTCTTTGAACACCATCTCCTTGTGCACAGGACCACCAACGTCATTCTCACTCTGGTAGAACAATACTGCAAGCTTGTTTTTCCTGCAAGTCACAGGGAAGAATTACCACATTATTTACTAGCTGCTGGTGGCTTACGAATGTCTAGTAACTGTTAGCAAGTAAGATTAGCTGAGCAGAATTCATATCATTCTATACTACACAGATACAAAATTTTAATACAGAAGCTGGCGTGTTATGCAGAAGGCTATACAGATACCAGCTATACAGATACAGATACAAAAGCAGGTGTGTTATGCAGAAGAGTGGTTATACCGGCTATACAGATACAGAAACTGTGTTATGCCAAAAGGCGGTTATACTTGCTATACAGATAGAGATATATATCATTGAAAAACAAGACCCACCCATGATTACACTGAAATCTGTCCAGGTTGATGGCAGTGGTAGGTTTGATGGTGCAGTCGAAGATCAGCGGACCCTTCTTGATCTCGTAAGGTGCCAAGCAGCCCAGTCTGGAACCCAGGGACGGGACAGGGATGACACACTTGTACACACTGAGCTGGCAGGCAGCTGAGAAAAAGTATGCATCATTAAGCATAAGTTCACTTCTGACTGGTTCTACTTGGCACTGCAGCTTAAGGTGTTGCGGAAAAGGTGTGGTCCCAAATGTTTTAGATCAGAAAGTTAAAACACCACAAGCAGCATTCATACACAACAAACACTGAGCTGGCAGGCAGCTGAGAAAAAGTATGCATCATTAAGCATAAGTTCACTACTGACTGGTTCTACTTGGCACTGCAGCTAGGTGCTGCAGCATAGGTGTGGTCACAAATGTTTTAGATCAGAAAGATCAAAACCATAAGCAGCATTCATACACAACAAACATGGTGGGTAAACACCATAATTCAATCAATAGTAAGTGCTTATAAACCAGGTCCTTCTTTTCTGGTCTTTCAGTCACTGACGAAAGCTAGTGGATACTAGCTGAAATGTCTGACCGTTTCCAAAATCATATCCAGTTGCTTGAGTAACTGCTTTTTGGCGTACCATAATTTAGTGTACAGTCAACTTTAATTTAGCCCCCAGGCTATGAAGTTGTGCTTGAACGTGCTGTGCATGTGGAATGAATACCTGATGCCTGTTTAGTTGTACACGTCAACAGCACTAGAATCTGCAATCCAGAAGGGACATTACTGATTATAGAATTTACTTGTTTATCAAAATCTACCACAAATATATGTAAACTATACTAGTATGTGGATATGTTGAGAGAACAATGACTGGCTCATAGCCCAGCAATACATTCAAATACCATATACATTTGTATTCAAGTTAATGAATCATCAAAACATTAGATAAACAAGCAGCAACAGAACAAAGCATGAGGAACAGAGGTTTTCAGTTGTGTAGTAATCTTTAACACATTTGTTACAGACTAAAAGGAAACGTTGAGATGTCACAATCGATTACTGTAAAGTATCGGCTTCGTTGTTCCAAACAATGACTCACACTTCTGTGTTTTGTTTTCTGACAACATCAACCAAAATACTTGTGACTGTAACATTTTCNAAGGTTTCTGCACTGGCTAATTTGGTGATTTAAATTTGCACTGTTTTACTGGTAAAGAAATGAGAGAGAAGTGGGTTTGTACTGAATATTGGTAGCTAGCAACATAAAGTTCCCCCCAAAAAAATTTGTTACCACATGCATGACGTCATCAAGTTTTATTGCCCTTTTTATGATTTTTTTCAAAGAAAAAATACAGAACTTTGGTAAATCCAAACAACATAAAACTTCGTTTTTGATTTCATAACAATGAAAGCTACAAACGTACGTTTGCGCAAACGAAAATATACTAATAATCTGTAGTTATAGCCAAATCATTGAGTTTTAATTAGGTAGTAAATTACGTTTCCGTATCTACCGAACCACACATGTTCAGCCGTTGCGCAAACGTACGTTTGGAGATTGAACGGTTTTCTTCAAGAATCGTGACGAAAAAAAACAACCAAGTTACCTTCCCTCTTTTCGTAATTATAAGAAAAATTAAAAAGTTG